GGGTTGGTGCTCCTCCCACGTCTGGGGCCGCTCTGCATGGAACGCAACCGTTGCGTTCCACGAGGCTCCCTAAGGGCCACTGACGTCGTGCGCGTGGTGATGCCGGCCGATGGGAGGGGCTAATCCCGGCATCCTTCTTAGCACTGTGTGTACCGGCGCGGCTGGCGCTCGGTCTCCTGCTCCTGAGGATCTCCTGCTGCTGCTCTGTGGCTCTCCTACCCCCACTTCGAAGCAGGGGTGGTGTAAAATCCCTTTTGAGGGTCAATCCCTCTTCAGGAACAAGCTGGAGACTGCTATCTCCAAGGCTACGGGTGGTAAATCCAGCTTTATTCCACAAGATAGACGGCTATTATGCCAGAGAAAACCACGCTTTAACGGTATTCTGCAACTTGCCTTTAAGGACGCGCGTTCTTTACAGACTTGGTAAGGAGTGCCGCAGGCCATGGAGGAGCGCCACTGGAGGTGCCAGCTCTACGAAGAATACCCCTAAACCTGCGCAGGGGGCGCAAAAGTCTTTTCGAAACTTTGCCCGCTCAGGTTTGCCAAATAGAAGCCAGGCTCTCTGGGTTCCGACAGATCTGGGCGGACCACATCAAGGACCGGTGGGTGATCGCTACCATTTCGGAAGGCCACGCTTGGCGATTTCGCAAGACTCCACGCACAAGGTTTGTTCTCACACATATTCCATCTTCCGGAGAAGTGAGGGAAAAACCTTGTGAGCTTATGTGCAGTCCCTGTTGACATGGGGTGGTGGTGGAGGTGCCGTCACAGGAGCGCTTTCGGGGCATTTATTCTCCTTTCTGGTCCAAAAGAAGACCGGAGATTGGAGGCCGGTCATAGATCTCCGGCATCTCAACCATCATGTCCTAAAAGAAAATTTAAAGATGGAATCCCTGCAAAGCATCTTAAAGATTGTTCGGCCCAAGGATTGGCTGGTGTCGGTAGATTTAAAAGACGCTTACTATAATGTACCCGTGCATCCGCACTATCACCACTTTCTGCGTTTTGCAGTGCACAACTTCACATACAATTCGTCCGCCTGCCTTTCGGCCTGAAGTCTCCATGGATTTTCACCAAAATTCTCCTCGCCCTAGTCGCGTTCCTTCCAGAACAGGGTGTGCGAATATATCACTATCTGGACGATGTCTTACTACTCGATCAGGAACAACTGCTCCGTCACCGAAAGCTTGTTCTTTCAACTTTCAAGGACTTCGGATGGCTTATCAACATGGAAAAGAGCCACCTGGTGCCTACTCAAGACCTGGTTTATTTAGGCGCTCGCATAAACACTGCTCAAGCCTCTGTCTCTTTTCCTCCGGAGAAGATTCCAGCCATTCGCAAAACTATTGCGGCTGCTGTGTCTGACCTTTATGACCGCCAGACAATGTCTTCGGGTAGTCGGCACTATGATTGCGGTAGACCCCATGGTGAAGCGGGCCCAATGGAGAGCCTGAGATTTCCAAGTGGGTTTTCTGAAACGCTGGTCCACGGAACTTCTGGATCAGAAAATCCTTTTGAGCTCATCCATGAAGGAGAGTTTGAATTGGTGGCTCCAAGATCTCAGCCTTCTGTGCTGTCACTCCCTTATGCCAGTGGACTGGATGATAGTCACGTCAGATGCCAGCGAGCAAGGTTGGGGAGCGGTTTGCCTGGACCAAGTGGCCCACGGGAGATGGACGTTTCCCTCTGAGGGAGTAGTTTCCAACATCCTGGAACTCAGGGCAGCCTTTTCAGGCTCTCCTGGCGTTCCGGTCCCTGCTCAGGGGGTGATCTGTCAGACTGAGGATGGACAATACGTCAGCTGTGGCATATATCCGAAGACAAGGCGGCACTCGCAGCGACACACTCCTGAGGGAAGTTGCTCCGATCAGGATCTGGCCTCAGGAGAATCTGAATCTCCTGTCGGCGGTGTATATACCAGGTCACGCCAATGCGCAAGCGGACATCCTCTCCCGGACAGCCTTCAACAACGAGTGGTCCCTCTCTCCGCGGGTGTTTCAGAGACTGACGAGGTAGGCCTTTCGACCACGGATCGATCTGTTTGTGTCCCCATCCAACACGAAGTTGCCAGTCTTTTGTTCGAGGTTTCCGTGCCCCCAGGCAGTGGGGGTGGATGCGCTGACACTGGAGTGGAAGTTCGAGACGGCATACGCCTTTCCTCCGATGCTTCTTATTCTCCGTTTCCTGAAGAGGCTGCAGGGGGAGGGGGGTCACTGTGCTAGCAGTGATTCTGAATTGGCCGCAATGGCCCTGGTACCCCCTTCTCCGGGAGTTGTCGGTGAGAGAACCTTATCCCCTACCACTACAGGAGAACCTGCTGACCCAGGGTCCATTGGTCCATCCAGCGCCCGAGAGGCTCTGTCTCATGGCCTGGATCTTGAAAGGAGGTGGCTGCAGAGGGACGGCTGCTCGGAGAGTGTGATTTCCACTTTGATGAAAGCCAGGAAGACCAGCACCAACAGGTCCTATGGCAGAATATGGTCCAAGTTTAGGGACTCTGGGGAGATTCCGGAGAGAAACTCTGTGTTAGACTGCTCACATCCTGGAGTTTCTGCAGAAAGGTCTGGAGATGAATCTGAGCTCCATTGCATTGAACCCGCTGTGTTAACCACTGTGGATTTTGGTCGTAGTGTTATTGCCTCTTCGGCTTCTGTACTTGATTAAAATTTTCCGCCGTGTGATTACCCTCCCTGGTGTGTCCAATTATTTCCAATTTGTGTGCTGCCATGGAGCTGTCAGGGAAAACAAGAGAATTGTATTTCATACTTACCGTAACTTTCCTTTCCCGACTAGCTCCATGGCAGCACAAAATGTTCCCGCCCGGTCGGAGTTGCTAGTAACGTAACACTGGTAGCTGCGGGTTGCTCAAATTTATGAGTTACGGTCCTATCAGATTGGTGGGGAGGCGGGGACATCCCATTTTGTGCTGCCATGGAGCTAGTAAGGAAAGAAAAATTGCGGTAAGTATGAAATACAATTTCCTGTTTTCCCTTCAGCTCTTAGGCCTGCGAGATGGTCTCGCAAATCCACTTAGCAATAGTGGAGCAGGAACTTGGTTGTCCCATACTGGGACCCTCAGGAATAACAAGCAGGGAGTCAGACTTGTGGATAGTAGAAGCTGCAGAAAGGTAAACTCTGACCGCTTAAACTATGTTCAAAGAGCATAGGGAAATGTAGGGGATTTAGAAGCAGGACACAAATCAGAAAGGGCTCCTTGCATGTCAAGCCAATTATTTCAAAAATATGCCTAGCAGAAGTGATGGCTCGAGCAAGGCTATCTTGAAAGTAAATGCAGAAAAATCTATCAGATCGGTTCAAAGGACAGCTTCTGAAGGGCTGAGAGAAGTAGACTGAGGTTACACTGAGTCACCAGAGCATGAAGCACCAGGGCATGAACAGGGTAACAACGTGTGCCAACCCTTGCACAAAGGCCTTCACCAACAAGTGAAAAGCAAGTGGACTCTGAAAGAGAATCCCCAAAGGAAGATATCTGGCCCTTGATGTTGTACAAGGCTAAATGCTCATCCAGGCCATACTGGAGGAAAGATAAAATGCATCCCACGCAGTACTTTATAGAATTGAACTTCCTGGTCCTACAATATGCAAAGTAGGTCTTCCAGGTACAATGGTCGACCTTGTGGGGGCCTTAAGGAGCATAGAGAGCCTTAAGATAACAGTGTCTGAAAGGCCTCCGTCCTTCAGGACTTGGGTCCCAAAAGCCATGCCGTTAAAGCCAGCAACCGAGAAGCAGGGTGGCATATCGGAACTTGTGAAAGAAAATCTGGACGGTCCAGAAGTGCCTACAGAGATTTTGCCACATCTGCGTACCAGGGCCTCCTGGGCCGGTTGGGGCAATGAGCATCAAAGGCATGCCCTCCATCTCAATTATGCAAAGGAAGTAAGACAAAAGCTTCAGAGGAGGAAAACAGTATATCAGTTTAAAATGATCACACGGCATTACCAAGGCATTCACTGCAAAGGCTAGCAGATGCCTGGTCCTGATGGCAAACCTATCCAGCTTATTTTAAATGTTGAAGATAAAACTCTGGGGAAAAAAAAAAACTCTAGCGCCTAGGGAGGAAAATTAAAAAAACTCACTTACCTGATCCTCTGAGCTGGCTTGCTCTCAGACTGGTCCCTGGAGCCTCTTTTCCCCTCCACCGCAGTATAAGGTCCTGTAAATCATCAAGTTCTATACATAGTGAATAGAACGCGAGGACACAGAGGGAAATTCCATTGCTGCAGGGTTGGAGGAGACAGGCTGGAGGGAGTGCGGTCACAGCCAGCCATCTGAGGATCGGGTGAGCATAACTTATTTTTCTCCCTAGACCAAAACTTACAGTTAACCCTTGCAGTGCGCGGGTAGCCCCACTGCCAGGGTTAATAATAATTTTCCCTGTAGTTCTGCTTAAAACCTGGATGCTAAGAAGTCCATGTCTGAGGACCTCACCTGCGAGAAGAAGGTGGAAACACCTATGGATAGAGGGCCCACTCTCTAGTATCAGACTCTAATGACAGAAGTAATCCACCTGGCACAACTTTCAACACCTAGAATGTATCACAGACAAGGCCAAAATGTGGAGTTCTAGCCATACTAAAAAGCTGCATGAATTTGGTGCTTCCTTGATGGTTGATGGCGTTCTCCAACTGCATCCTGGTCATGCAAAAAGGTCTGTTTCATTTAAGTTGAAGTGAGGTAATGCTATATATCCAATATAGATGGTTTTTTATCTATATTGTATCCAGATTGTCGTGTTGTAATACAAGATATTTGTCAGTAAAATAATGAAAGACAAGATTGTACACAAGCAGTAAGTGGATCCAAAATGAATATAAAAAAACAAAATGGCAACTTATGGGATAAAACCTGCAATTCTTCACACAAAACAGGACATTTCCCTATAGATGTTTACTATGAATTATTCATTTATGTAAGGAATTTGGGTTACTGTGGAAAAGTGATGCGACTTCCCATTATGCACACAATAAAATCACCATACCTGTATGTTTACTTGATAATCAGTGGGACCATGTATTGAGCCATACAGTGCAAAACCAACAACAAATATCCTTCGATTAACTGAAAACCTGAAAGACAAAACAAAAAAAGTACCATCAAAAACAAAAGTCACCACAATCTGAACACCAAAAAACTAGATACATATTAACAGTAATACTTAACATTTTTCTACAAAATAAATTAAGAAACTGCAAAAGACACACAGTTATAACTACTTTGTGTTTCAGCAAACTACCAGCATCTGCAATATTTAGCAGTAACAAAATCATGTCCAATGTCATGACCAGTCGCCCAGTTTCCTGATTGGTCAGGAAGCCAGGCTGCCAAGCAACAAGTGAAGCCAGCTTCCTAGCCGACCAGGAAGCCGGGAGGCGGGTCATGACATCCCACCTGGCTTCCCGATTGGTTAAGACGCCAGGCGGCCTCGAAACATGAAGCCGTTTGTTCTTTTGATAGAACACTGGCTTCTCAGGCAATGGGACCTTCCTGATAAGCCGGGCAAACAGTATCCCAGGATGCCAGTATTCGGTATTGGCAAGTACCCAATGGTGAAAAACCGGTATTGGTGCATTTCAGTCAGAGTCTGGGAAAATAAGTAATTCTTTATATATTCCTCTGCGCTATACACTATCTTGTGGAAAGCCAGTGAGAAGTGCTCAGGGAGCCCTTAGTTTAAAATCTGCTGTGCATTTTAATAAATTATGTTTAGTAATGCACCAATACAGATACCAGTATCGGTGGAGATACTGAGCATTTGCTCAGATACCAAAAACCGATACCAGCACTTTAATTAGCCTGCTTGGGAACCACGCGGCGCCTGTTTACAGCCTCCTAAGACCCTCCGCACATCTCCCCTTCATAAGACCCTCCACCCAAGACATCAGACCAGCACCCTGGAGCAGAGTGGCAGCACAGAGTATGTACAGGTATGGTGCAGCAAAACTGCACCTGAACTCCACAGCTGCTTTAGATATGATGCCTTCTGTTTCGGTCCTGTGCTTTATTCTGCATTGCTGAGATTTGCACTTATATATATATATATATATATATATAATAATAATATTGCTGAGATTTGTAGTCCCTCTACAGCTTGGAGTGGCAGAACTACCAAGGTTGCAGCTGCGACCGGGCACTGGCGCTCCACCATTTACCTAAAATCAGTCTGTATTGTTTTAGAAAAACGGTCACGTGGAAAAAATATATAAAATATTGGTATAGGTGAGTACATGACGAAAAGAAATCGGTACTCATACTCAGGTCTGGAAAAAACACACACACAAGATGCACCAATTTTCTCAAGACCGAGTATCGATACTAGGGATGCACCGATATATTGGCAGCCGAAACATATCAGCTGAAAATGGCACTTTTGACATACCGAAAGTGCTATTTTCTTGGCCGATATAGTGGTGCATTCATTCTCTCTCCTCCCCGCTGTGCGCTGCTCTGTGTCCCAGTGGGGAGGAGAGAAATTGTCACAGGCGGCCAAGCGCTGCGGTAGGAGAGCGCTGTGAGCGGCCGGCGTCTCTCCTCCCGCACCGCTCAGCCTCCTGTCACAGATCAGAGGAGAGCAGTGCGGTCAGCTTGCAGCACTTCCCCGCAACGCTCACTCAGCCTCATGTGACAGTGAGTCAGGAAGGAGTAGAGTGCAAACACTCAGCGATCACTGTTTGTAAATAATTGAGGACATGGTATGTTTACTATATCCTCCATTATGAATGAATGGGAATTCATTCATGATTGCGGTTATAGTAAACATACTATGGCCTCATGTTATGAATGAACAGGAACACTCAGAGGATTACTGTTAATCTATAACAGTGGCTGCAGAAAAAAAGAGATTGAGGACTCTGTGTTCTCAATCTCTTTTTCTATTTTAAAAAGGAAATATATGAGAGTTAAAATAAAAAACATTTTTGGTTTCGGTCTGAAATTTTCATTTCGATGCACCTCTGATCGATACTTTTCCCCCAAGTACTCACCAATACCAATTACCGATACCTTTTCTTTAGTGTCATGTAACAGTTTCTAAAATAATACAAAAACGTATGATTTTAGGACAGTTTTGGACTATCAGGGTCCGGTCGCAGGTGCAAATGCTGTGATGCTGGTAGTTCTGCCACTGACTCCAAGCTGTAGAGGGACTACAAATCCCAGCAATACATTATATAGCAATGCAGAATAATATGTAGCTACATAATTTAAATGCTCACAAGGGCTGTGCGGGCAGCAGGAAGGAGATGTTGGACGGGCTAGCCCTCTAAACAGGTGCGGCGAGGTCCCACGCTTGCTGGGGACCTCACAGCAGCTGCTTGTGTTTTAAAAATTTAAGTGCCGGTATCGACGCTTAGTATCAAGGCATTTTCACGAGTACTCGTGAGAATGCCCAGTATTGTCACAGATACTGGTATCAGTACCTGTGCATCCCTAATATACTATATATACACTGAGTGGCCAGATTATTATGACCGCCTGATGTTTGTAGGCAAATTAGCTATAATTAGCTATAATTTTGCACTGAAGTTGCTAGATGGCCAGACCATTATAAATAGGGAAGCAGGTTGTTTACCACGACAGTAGAAGTGATTTTTTTCTGAAGATATGGGTAAACAATGCGATTTAACAGCCTTTGAACGTGGGATGATTGTTGCCGCTCGAAGCCATGGAGCGAGTATCAGCAAAACAGCAGAATTCGTTAAATGTTCAAGAGCAGCTTTTGTTAACCCCTTCATGACTGAGGCCTTTTTTTCATTTTTTGCACCCATGTTATATTCCACATTTTAGGCCTGAAAGTGACTTAAAACCCCCAAACATTATATATTTTCTGAATGCCAAGACCCTATAGAATAAAATGGTGGTAGTTGCAAATTTTTATGTTGCGCAATATTAGCGCAACTCCTTATTAAACCCCAACATTTAGTGAAAAATGTAATCAAATGCCCCATAACAAAATATAAAAGATGAGGTTACAATGAGTAAAACGATACCCAACATGCCCAGGTTACAAATTGCGTGCGCCCGTGAAATGGCGAAAAACTGCAGTACCCCAAAAAGTCTATAGAAGACGATTTAAAAGCCCCCACAGGTCATCAATTTAGAGATACCCCATAATACTGGCCCTAGAATTATTGCTCTCACTCCAGCGTGCGCAGCGATACCCAACATGTGTAGTGCGTTCGTTGTTTTCATACGTAGGCGCACCCGACGCGTGTTTACGTGGCGATGCGCGTGCTCAGGGGGGCGGGGGACTTTTAACTTTTTTTTTTACATTATAGACCCCGCACAATCTCGGGTGACACCGCACAGAGGAACCTGGATGTGTGGGGTCACCGGAGATGTGTGGGGTCACCGGGGATGTGCGGAGAGCACATGTGTGGTGACACCAAACAATTTCCATGGACCCCGCACATCCCTAGTGACACTGCACAGTGGGGGGGATCTATCGAAACCGTAGCAGGCGAAAACTGGAGCAGCTGTGCATGCCAGCCAATCAGCTTCTCTCTCTCATTTTCAAATCTTAACGGAACAAACTGAAGAGAGAAGCTGATTGGTTGCCATCGGCAACTGCTCCAGATGCTGTTTGCTCCAATTTTGATCAATTTCCCCCAATGTCTTTTTATCTGTTCTAGCAGTCATATATGTACATGAGAAGAATGGTGGGGGGAGGGGAGAGATCTGGCGACAGGTAAGTCGCCAGAATCGCTTCGGTTGTAAAGCCGACAGTCGGCTTTACAAGTTTAAACAGAGTCCCGTCGGCAATAGCCGCCGGGAGTCTGTTTAAACAACCCCGATGCTGGCGACGTACACTGTACGTCGTCAGTCACGAAAGGGGTTAAAGTGTTTAAAGACTAGACTGTCAGCCGAAAATCTGGGTCTGAATGTGCCAATTGTGGTCCTCAGCGACTAATCAATGTTAGGGCAGAACGGAGAGTGGCAAGACTGGTACAAGACAACAGAAGGGCAACAGTGCAGTGTCAGATTCCTCGCATCACCTTTCAACATCTCGTGGAGTCAGAAGCTTAGTGTGAGCTCTTCTTTTGGGTCTTTACTGAGTAACTAAAAACAGGTTAACCATTTACTTATTAGGCCCCATTCACACGTAGCGAGATATCGCGCATTTGTGCCGCGCAATATCGCGAGAAGTCGCCGGCTAATGATATTCAATGGAGCTGTCTTAGCTCCATGTCGCGCGTCGCAAGTCGCTTCTACAGGACCCTTTTTTCGGCGGATTTTGCACGATTTTGCTTTTTTCTAATGGAGCCCGACGGAGAAGGTCGCGCTACCGTCACTGGATCGTCGCTGGAACGTCTCCCCGAAAGTCGCGCTATCCTGGCCGCTGCAAAAGGTATGTCGCTACGTGTGAATGGGGCCTTAGTCTCAAAATTAACAAGTTGCCTTGTCCATGCAGGGTCAAAACACCAAGTTTACTTTAATTCTTCCCCGGCAGCACATTTCCTTTGCAATTTTGCCTCTTCCTCTGGCTGCCAGGAGCAGGAGAAGACGCCTTTGTTAACTACAAGTTGCTTACATGGGGCTATGCACCCACCCCATGTGACAGCACTGGTGCAAGGAGTGGTGGAGAAGCAAAGGAAAGAAGAAGCGTACAAGCTTCTGGGGATGGGTGCATTAAATCAACCCTGTCGCATTGCCCTACATGACAAGGAAAGAACACAGACTCAACTGTGGGAATCTGTTCCCACAGACAATATTTTTTGGTTACAAAAATAAAAAGGTATATATTGCACACACCTTATTCGGTCACTAGTTCCGCTATAACCCCAGCGGCTTTCCACTTGCTGGAAACGGTTAATATTACATTCTTTCCCTCGCAAGCAACATCTTGGCCTATCGATAAATTCCACTCGAGGTTTGGGATTCACCGTAAAATGCAGGAACAAACTCACAACTTCCCTGTCGGTGAGTATTCCGGACTGTGCTGGGCCTAGGGAGCAGCAAAGAACATAATTAAAGCAGAAAAATAATATGCATGTACAAATAATAGCATGTAAACGTACTATACATGCTATAAAAGCAATGTAATTAAAGCAGGTCATGTCATTGCAAAGAGACTGCAATCTTCTTTATATTTTTAGCTTTATTAACTACAAAATATGAGGGAATAGCTGACTAAATACATTTTGAAATAATTTTTTTTAAATAGGCCCACACACTAGACAGTTGTAAATCTAAAAAGGGGATTGAACAGTGGATTATATTATGTAAATTATAAGGTGTATTGCCATCCAAGCTATTGAGTGACACTGACGAGCTGAAAGTATAAAACCACATTTGTAATTATTCTGCCCACACCATTAAGATTGCCCTTTCTGATTCTCCAAGTCCTCCCTCTAACAGATTGTAAATACTTGTTGACCCTGACAGCAGAACTGTGGGTTAGACACTTGCTTAACCAGTTGACATCCGCGGTGTTAAACCCCCTTCCCATCCAGGCCATTTTTCAGTATTCAGCGCTGCGGTACTTTGAATGACAATACTCTTCCTTCTGAAATCCTTACAGCCACTTGCACTTCAGCGGTAGGCAAGGATACAAGAATTGAGTGTTCCATCCTGGGAAACTTTTTCTTTTTTTTTCCAGCTCACTGGGGTTTAGCTTTAAGCACCAAGAGACATTGTGACTGACTCTCACTGCTGCCTGCAGACATTATATCCAAGGCTAGCATCTGCTGATGCAGCCATATCCAGACAATGAAACTTCATGAAGTGTGTGAACAGAGGACCAGATAGCTGACTTGCACAACTGGGAGAACGAAGCCTAGTACCTAAAAGGCCAAGAAAGCATTCACCACTCTAGTAGAATAAACCGCAACTAGGAACAGATAAACTAGTCCCTTAAGGTAGTGTACCTGAGGAATAGTGTGGAAAATCCACAAAGATATGGTTGTGTTAAAAAGCATTACATCCTTTATGAGGACCATCCGGTATGACAAAATAAGGAGTCAATCTTTAAAAAGGAAGCTTACTTACAGCGGGATTGTGAACCAAGTGGTTTTGTAACAGTGGAGTTATAAACACAGGGGCTAAAAACAAAAGCCGTCTTTATCTTGTCAGTAACATTTTAAAATTACTGTAGATAAAATAAATATTGTAACTGGAATAATGAGTGTTTGAAAAAGTTGAAAGCTTTGCTCAGTGCACACTAAATATACAAATGACGCAAGAGTTCAAGGATAACTAGTGCTGACACAGATGTGAGCAGGTTGCCCTCCTGGAAGCTCACAGTCAAGATCTGAAGAAGCACATTACAACAGTGAGAAGACTTGACAAACAGTTAACCCGGCTGATATGGAGCGTGGAGGAAAAAGCATGATCAGGTAGGAAGCTGGGTTACTGTAGTTAGAGACAGTGGCAAGGTCTCACAGAAAAGGAAGGCTGACTCTGTCTTTGAGCACCCAAAACAATATGCCAGGTTAAGTGAAGATGTGCAGGTGCTAAACCCAGAGTTGGCAGCCCTTTATGTCACTGCTACCTCTAACAGCCAGGAGAACAGCCCATTTAATAGGGGTGGTAAGGGTAATGTAGATGGGCTCGGTAGCCTGGATGGGAAGGGGGTTTAACACCGCGGATGTCAACTGGTTAAAACAGACAGGGGTCAGACACGTATTGAGGGTGGAATATGTAGGGGAAGGGGGAGATGGGGGGCTATAGCAGGTGATTAGTTTCCCATGTCACAAACATTGCGATTACAGTACAATTTGTATATATAAAAAATGAATAAATAATTAATTACATTGTATGGTAATTCCAAGTGCAAAATGCAACAATGGATTAAAAAGTGTTTACCAATGCCAGTAGTCTGTCAAGCAAAATAAAAGAGTAGGAAGTTTTACAGTTAGAAAAATTAAAAGGTGAAGGAAACAGACAAAATAATGGTCAATAAAGCATCTGGACAGATGGTTGACATCCACCGAGGGATGGCAGCGGCCAACGCAGCCCGGCCCTTACGAGGGCCCTCCGTAAGCACGAACAAGGAGTCGGTCTCGCAGAAAGAAGCTGTAGCTTCCAAATAAACAGAGAGCGCGAACCACATCCAAAACAATGGAGCACACGTTCCTTCCTATGAACCGGCTTTGGGCACAAGGAAGGCAAGACAATGTCCTCATTCAGATGGAATGCCAACACAACCTTAGGCAGGAAAGCCGGCCGAGGACGGAGAACCGCCTTGTCCCTATGCAGAACCAGCAACGGAGCCTGCAGGACAAGGCAGCCAACTCCAACACCCGCCGAACGGAAGTGATGGCCACCAAAAAGGCCACTTTTTGCGACAAGGACGGAAGAGGAATCTCCCGGAGAGGCTCAAACAGAGATTCCTGCAACACCGAAACCACCAGATTCAGATCCCACGGTGCCAAGAGCAAGGGCGAGCAATCAGCGTCACCCCCTGAACAAAAGTGTGAATCAGAGCATTAGACGATATAGGCCGCTGGAACAGCACAGACAATGCAGATATTTGGCCCTTCACTGTGCTCAAGGCCAGCCCTTGAGCCACCCCGCGCTGCAAGAATGCCAGAATTCTGCTGATGGAGAACAATTGTGGAGACAGGGCCCCAGCCTCATACCAGGCAAAATAGGCCCTCCACGTGCGATGGTAAATCTTTCTAGAAACCGCTTTGCGCGTCCTGAGCATGGTGGAAATGACCGCATCGCACAACCCCCGGTCCTTCAGGACCTGGCTCTCAACAGCTACGCTGTCAAAGCCAGCGATTGTAAAGAAGGATGGAACACAGGTCCCTGGGACAGAAGATCTGGACGCAGAAGGGGGCGTCCACCACCAGCTCAACCACATCCGCGTACCATGCTCTCCGAGGCCAGTCCGGGGTCACGAGGAACACAGGAACACAGGTCCCTGGGACAGAAGATCTGGACGCAGAAGGGGGCGTCCACCACCAGCTCAACCACATCCGCGTACCATGCTCTCTGAGGCCAGTCCGGGGTCACGAGGACAACGGTGACGTCCTCGGCCGCGATCCGGCGCAGAAGCCGAGGCAACAGATAGTGGAGGGAAGGCATAAATCAGACCGTAAGGCCCCCAAGGAGCCACCAGGGCATCTGCCGCCTCCGCCCAGGGATCCAATGCCCGGGCTACGAACCTGTCCACCTTCCGGTTGAACCGAGACGCCAGAAGATCCACATCCGGCATCCCCCTGCAGAGACAGAGCTGCTGAAAAACTTCTGGGAGCAGGGACCACTCTCCCGGGTCCACCGACTGGCGACTGAGGTAGTCGGCCTGTCAATTGTCCACCCCCGGAATGTAGACCGCCGAGGGAGCCAGAACCCGATTCTCCGCCCAGGAGAGAGTACCGAACACCTCTCGACCTGCGGCCACGCTTTTTGTGCCGCCCTGGTGGTTGATGTACGCCACCGCGGTGGCGTTGTCCAACTGGACCCAATGCCGCGAGATCCTGAAGATGGGTCGACCAATGATGGAGAGAAAGGCAAATCGCCCAAAGTCCCAACACATTTATCGACAGACGGGAGTCCTCCGGCGACCAAAGACCCTGCACGGTCAAGGAGGCCGGACTCTGCCCCAGCCCCAAAGGCTGGCGTCCGTGGTGACCACCGTCCAGTGCACAGGAAGGAAAGACTTCCCCCGCACCAAGGCTGGATATTGAAGCCACCACCGCAGGGAGGCTGTCGCCTCACGAATCTCCCTGTCCAAGGAAAGGGGGGACTTGTCCCACTGTACCAGGATGTTCCTCTGCAGAGTCCTGGTGTGGTGTTGTGCAAAGGAGGCCACGATGAGACCCAGGACATGCATGCAAAAAGTAAATGGGCGACCACCGGCGAGTCCGCAACAGACGGACCTTGGAACGGAGTTTGTCCTGATGGAGAAAAACCCAGGCCGCAAGTGTCCAGAACCAGGCCCAGATACTCCAGGCGTGGAGAAGGCACCAGACAAGACTTCCGGAGGTTCAGGAGCCAACCGAACTCCTCCAAAAAGGACCGCACCGTGACCTCCAGAGCGGTCACCAGAGTCGTCCAGGTAGCCCACAAGCGAAACCCCCCGACAATGCAACAGCGCCAGAATCGGGGCAAGCACCTTGGTGAACACCCGTGGGGCTGACGCCAGCCCGAAAAGGCAGCACCACAAACTGAAAATGCTCCTCCCCACCGCGAAACGAAGATATCGACGATGAGACTCGCAAACGGGCACATGGAGGTAGGCATCCTTGATGTCGATGGAGGCCAGCAGATCCCCCTGACGAAGCCAGGCTACTACGGACCTGATCGACTCCATCCGAAACCGACGGACCCGCACAAACGTTTGAGGTCCAGGATGGGCCGAACCCCCTTTCTTGGACACGGTAAACAGGTTGGAATAAAACCCATTGAACCTTTCCGAGGACGAAACCGGCACGATCACCCTCTGGGACAAAAGGTCCGCCACAGCGCGACAGAGATCCGCCAACCGCGGAAAAGGAGCGTGTTGGACGGGAAGAACCTGTTCCCCGGACGGGACAGAAATTCGATCTTGTAGCCCGAAGAAACCAGCTCCCGGACCCAAGTGTTGGAGATGTGAGCACCCAAAAATCCGCAAAGAGCCGAAGCAGCACCCCCACCCTGGGAACCAGAGCCGGGGCGCGACCTTCATGCAGACTGGGGCTTGCCGGCAGGCTTGGCAGACTGTGAAGAGGAGGATTTGTTAAACTTCCCACCCTTATCGGAGGGCAGAGGGGGCAGAAAAAGCTGCTTGTGAGCGGTAGAAAGTGGGCCCAGGCTTCAAGCGCTGTTCCTTCTTGCGTGCCTGGGGAAAGTACTCTTACCCCGTCAGATCCTTAATGATCTCATCCAAGGTGGAACCAAACAGACGGTCCCCAGTAAAGGGCAATTCCGTCAGAGCTTTCTTGGAAGCGTGATCAGCCGACCAGCACTTAAGCCAAATCAAATGGCGAAGCGTCACCGCCGCACACACCGACAGCTTGG